CGTCTCAAAGTCACGTACGAAATAGGGAGAGGGAAGGCAGACTCAAAGAGGGAGCTGTAAAGTCACTACAACTCCCACTTTTACGGCTCCCTATTGGAGTCTGCCTTCCCTCTCCCTTTTTCGTGCGTGGCCTTGAGATGCCACGTTAAAAAAATCGAAGTATACGTTGTGTTTCTTCGAGGTCACGAGCTGGAAGGAGGGGGGGTGCTGACGGCCAATTAGACGATTCGTTTCGACTTAAATAATTGGTATTGAAGCTCCCGATAGGATGACTATGTCCCTCTCGCCTTCCAGCACGTGAGCTTGAAGGGACACTACAATAAAATCAGAATATGGGTTTGTGATTTATCTAGAGAACGGGTTCCCAAAGGGACAGGTGAAGACCCCACTGGGGATACAAGAAATTTTCAAGAAGGTCAATGATGATTGCCGAATATGAACCAGTTTCTGATCAGTAGAATCAGGATCCCATTGATTACAAAAAGTACTAATGAACTTAATTAACTGTTTTATGAAATAAAACAACAAAACGCATGATAGTAAATTACAAATTCGATCGCCTAGAAAATAGGATATTTAAAAATCTCAAGAAATGATAACTATGCATTCACAACGATAGTCTATAGTGTAGGAGAGTGTTCCCCGCAACATGCAGTAGAGAAATGGCCAGTTCTTAAAACACACTCATCATTTCAATGAAGATTACAACCTCAGCTAGTTAAAAAAGCGAAGCAGTTTTTGATTATTGGATAAATCGAGATATTTACGAGAATAATGGAGGACGAAATTATTATCTTTATGTGCAATTCTTTGTATCAAGGATGCCGTATATTATAGAGAAAGTGTAAGGTGTTTGAGCCCCTGATTCGGGAAGACTTTCCTGACACACAGTATAAAGGGATCAGAACAACAACCAAGTGACATTTTGTGATCAGCTGATAAAACTATATTTTCATACAGCTGAATGTATTCTCTTTCAGAAGAAATATCATTATTTTCCGTGATGTTTTGAGCTGACATCAATGGCATCAAACCCATTCTCAACTCAACCCATTTCAAAGAATAATTCGCATTCTGAAATAATACTTTTTTAATTTCAAACTATCAATGAAAATCTTTCTTGTTATTAAAAAATAAAAGGATGGTACGGGTTATTACCATGAGGTTTCGCAATGTGGTGGAGACCAAAATCCAGACAAGTGAAAAGCGTAAAAAAGTGGTCCACAACGTCTCTCGTTCTCTCTTTCTTTCTTTCCCTCTCTTTCTCTCTCTTTCCCTCTTTCTTTCTTTCTTTCTTTCTCTCTCTTTCACTCTCTCTCTTTTCTCTCTGGGTGAAAGTGATAAATCAAACGTAAACAATATTCACTGTCCAAGAAACTTTAGAAACAATTCATTGCTGATAATTGTGATTAGTGAATTCGTCGGATGCAAAATGCATCCTGCAAATGAAGTGCATTTTACCGAAGATCAAGAAGGGAACTCCATTTCTTAAAGGAAGATACGATGAGTACGGATTGAAAAACCATAACCCCTCACCATACCATTCAAAGAAACTCTTAATAAGGCACTAATATTAAGGAAAGTAAGCTTTACTAAAATTGAAGCAGGTATAGAAAAGCTAATGCACGAGAATCTTCAAAGACTGTATTCAGAAGAAGTGAAAATTAAAACAGAAAAAAAAATCCTGAAACAGTTGAAAGAGTTAATTCATCATTTTTACTACATTTTTGAAAGTATTTTTCATGGAAAAATTCTTGCCCAAAACAAGAAGATACTTGTGCAATTTAATACGTGTACATTGGCCTGCAAAAGTGTTTCCAACCAGAAAAAGGTTTATCTCCGGACCGAGATTAGAACTCAGATTATTCGAGTCATCACTGCATGGATGCACTCAGTTTTTTATGCTTAAAAAATTAGTGGTTCCTCACGATATTTCTAATTTACGCAATTTTCGAAAATATAGAGTTCAACGAAACCGAGTCCTACACCATTTTTTAAGCGTTCCATATGAGAAATAAATTTAAAGCAATAATTTGGAGATTTTTAAAATAAATTACATTAACTTCAAAAAGAAATTATATGAATATTACTCGCTTCGTCAAAGATGTATATTACCTTATTTAAAGTTCTATTAAAAAATCAATTCACTGAATTAATTATTAGCATGCTTATTCACTTATGCAGTTAAATAGTGGTTATTTTCTCCCTTATTTATCAGGGGAATTATTAGCAATAGACAAGGAATAATAACATCAATAAGATTAATATTCTAAACGAACGCTCTAATCTTCGTATTGGCCTCGGAAGGAGGTTTAAAGGCACACTACAAATCATGATGAATGCAGAATGCCTTAAGATCCTGTGGAATCTTGAGATTCGCGTAAAAGTTAATAAAATGAGGTCGTCAAAAAACACGAATGAAAAGGCAGACTTAAACGAATAACCGGGAAGCTATAAAACAATCACTGCTCAATGAATAGAGCCGACAATTAGCTGTATTCTCTAAAACCGTTGGTGATATCTGTTTCCCCTCGTAGCGCAAAACTGCATTATAGGGATTTTTATATTCTCATAAGCTTGTATTTCTTGTACTTTAGAATACACTCAATGTATGTTTCTTAAAAAATAATCATATTTTATGGTTGTAGAATACGCTAAAAAAAACTTCATATTAGATGCAAATTAAGGAATCCAAATTCAACAGACATTCAACATAATGACACGTCAAGTCACAAAATACTTATTGTGGCATGTTTACTCATGAATTAGAGCTTTTGTGAGGTATTATAGAACCAAAAACAATAATATTTTCATGATTGGAGTGACCAAATCAATAGAATAAAAACACATGTGAATTATTTCGGAGTTGAGAGAAAGTTACATAATGCTGCGCGAAAAAAAATTGCGTAAATTTTCAGCACAAAAACTGTCATTACAAAGCCATGGTAACGAAAAGGTGGACAAATCCTATTGCTAAATTTAGAAAAAAATCCTCTATCACGTGATGTATCCAGAATCCATGTGTTGTGGGTCCTTGATAGCGAAATGCCAAAACGTCTGTCTCACCGTTCGATCTTTCTTTCGATCGACCGTCCGTCCGTCCGTCCGTCCGTTCACCCGTCCGTCCGCCCGCCCGTCCGTCCGTCCGTCCATCCGTCTGTCCGTCTGTCCGTCTGTCCGTCTGTCCGTCTGTCCGTCTGTCCGTCTGTCCGTCCCTCTGTGATCAACGCTAGTGGCTAAACCTTTCAACCCTTTTTTGATAAAATTGATATTCCCCAAACGCTCCGACTGATGTCGCGGACCCTTGAGTTTGAAACCGATATTTTAATTCTGGGGAGGATACTTTACTTGAAGACCCAGGGACATACATTTTGTTGTGAAGGTCGTTTACGAGAATGGCGCAGGTCTCAGTTCGTTAAAACCCCTGATTTTTGAAAATTGCAAAAGTTCAAAATTTTTTAGAGGTCGTCCTACAACTAAAATACTAAAAATACGAGATATTTTCCCTCAATGAAATCTGCTCCCTAAAGATAGATCTTGAAATATCGCCATGTACAATTTTTCTAACATTCGAGTACTTTTCGTGTATGTTTGCATGAAAGTACTAGCGAGAAAGTATGTGCTATTTTAGAACGCAGAGCTTAAGAAAACGTACGCAAGTAGTGAAGAGGAAAACTGAACGAAACGTCTGACCGAGATTGGGTCACTGACACAGAAGCTAAAGTGCAATATTTGTTACAGGCTTATGCAAAGAAAGCGAGAAAGTGAGTGCTGTTTTAGCACCACTAGTTTATAACTCTACATTCATATGTCTGATCAGACATCTTTACGTACCTGTCCATCAGGGCACGCCCCCTGCTCATAGAGCACGTGGCACTGTCCGTCTGGGCCGAGGGCGCGGAAGCCCTTGCAGTGGCAGCGGCCCTCCCCGCGCAGCGAGTAGCGGAAGGCGAGGAGGCGGTCGCCTGCGCACAGCTGGTGCGTGGGCGCGCAGCGCGCCTCGCCCGCCAGCAGGCCGTAGCCCGGCGCGCAGGGCCTGCGCGCGCAGACGGGCGCCGCGCCCTCCTGCAGCACCAGCCACTCGGAGGGCGCGCAGGGGCCCTGCTCCAGCAGCCACGCGCAGCCGCCGCCCTGCGCGCCCGCCAGCCGCACCGTGCCGTTGCGCGCGCACGCCAGCTCGCGCGCAGACAGCTGCACGCCCAGCACGCGCGCGTACCAGTACGCGTGGTCCACGGTGTCGTTCGAAGGGACGATTGCTGGGACGACGTGGTTGTCGGATGCGTTTTGTCGAGGGGAAGGTGCTAAAGTTGCTGATGCTGCGAAGTGGAAGAGAAGGAACCCAGCTGCGTAGAAGAATGCCATCTCAGTGGAAAATGTCAATCGGTGGGTGTCGATTGTTGAATGTCCGACTCGTGCCAGTTGTCAGTTGTCGTTGGGTGATGGTTTCTACTTCTTCCTTGATAATTGGGTGTTGCAGGTTGCTCGTTGGCAGCAAATGCTAATCAACAACTTCTAATTCCCTCCTGCCAGCTGATTCCTGCAGCTTGCTAGACTTGTTTATTCCTCTTACTTAGTCGTCGATACCTGTTGCCTAATGTCTGTTTACTCGGTGGCCATTTATTTATCACTTAAGTACTTTAATAACTTAGTTTTGATATATTGAGTTGACACTAGTAATTACGTTGTATAGAAAAACACACTCTTCACAGACTATTCAGATCACTGTGCACCCCTAAGCACTACACGAACGGTCTTACTACAACATTATACTGCGGAATCTGATGATTAGTTCTAGCTCGTTTATCTCGAATGCGACAATTCCAATACCTTGATTGAAATAGAGTTAATCGCGAACCTGCTGAATACTGGTGTGCTACCTTAGTAGAATGGTATCTCGGAGTCGGTTCCTCTGATCTCGGTGTTGTCTTCCATCAAGTAGAGGTCTTGACTGTGGGGTTGCGAGCTCCAGAGATGCAATGGGGACTTCTCGCGAGCGTCCGTTAGCGGAATGCGCCCGACTGAGCCTCCTCCTTCGCGTGGCCCAGGGCAGCCGCCGCCGCCGCCTCCGCCGCCGCGGAGCAGTCACGTGACTGTAAGTCCCGGTTGGCGGAGGCGATCGCGTGTGACCTGCCCCACGCCGTGCGGTCTTCGCGTCGGCGGAATCGCTGTTCTCGTCTCGGCCGCGCCGAATCCCGTGAGTGAGTCAGTAATCCTATCTTTGAGACAAACGAGAATGATCTTATCACAAAGAACAGTCCACGAATGCGATTTTTCATGACGAATATTATTGCTTTTCCTTTAACGTCTTAACGCCCAGCGTCCTCATATGAAGATGTGCATTTCTAGGAAACACAAATTTGCTTCTTTTGCAGTAGTTTGGCATCCTAAACGAAACATATAAGCTAGTTTTTTTTTTTTCATTTGTGCTTGCGCGCTCTTCGCGTCGGCGGATTCGCTGTTCTCGTCTCGGCCGGGCCGAATCCCGTATATGAGTGAGTAATCCTGTCTTTGAGAACAGCGAGAATGATCTTACCACGAGAAACAGTCTACGAATGCGATTTTTAAAGACGAATATTAGCGCTTTTTCTTTAACCCATCCTCATGTGAGGTTGTGTTTTGGCAAACTGAAATTTGCTTCTTTTGCTGTAGTGTGATATCCTGAACGAAACATATAAGCTAGTATTTTTCATTTGTGCTTGCGCGCTCTTCGCGTCGGCGGATTCGCTGTTTTCGTCTCGGCCGGGCCGAAT